AAAAAAAAGAAATTACCAACAGAGTTAAAAGATAATGCACACTTTTGGAAAAAATCTTAACTAATAAGCACTCAGACACAGGTCTTCTATCTAGAATTTATAAAGAACTAAAAAACTTTTAGGGCCCGAAAATTTAAAGACCCAATCTAAAAGTGGGTATCTGAGATGAACACACAGTTCTCTGAGGAAGAAATACAAGAAGCAAATAAATACATGAAAAAATGCTCCACATCACTAGCCATTCAAGAAATGCAAATTAAAATAACACTTATATACCTTCTCACCACAGAAAGAATGGCTATCATAAAGAAATCAACCAACAACATATGCTAGAGAGGCTGTGGGGAAAAGGGAACTCTTCTTTACTTCTGGTGGGAATGTAGACTTGTGTAACCATTATAGAAATCAGTGTGGAGACTCCTCACAAAACTAGGACTGATGATCCCATACAATCCAGCTATTCCCCTTCTGGAAATTTTCCCAAAAGAACTGAAAACATCATATCATAGTGATATATGTGTGTCTATGTTTATAGCAGCACAATTTGTAATAGCTAAATCTTGGAAACAAAAATGCCCATCACCAGAGGAAAGGATGAAAAAGAAGTGGTGTTTTATACAATGGAGTATTTCTCAGCTATACATAAAAATAAACTCAAAGCCTTCATATATATGTGGATGCAACTTGAAGGTACAGTCATAAATGAAATAAACCAAACCTACATGTGTAAATATCTCCATGTCTCCCTAGCATAAAAACTTTCAAGAAGAAATAAAAATTAAAAGGTAGAACAGTTAAGTGGAAAGCAATAACTTAAAGGCTAAACAATGAAGAGAGAGAAAGGAGAAATTTTAGGAAATACGCATGATCAAAACCATACATTTACATAGAAGAGATACTAAAGAAAATGGTCCTTAGAATCTCCACCAGGTTTTTCAAAATAGTAGTTAATGAGTAGAATTCTCACCCTAACTATATATGCTGATAATTGTGAACTAAGCAACTACACTAAGGATAGCAATGTGTAATACTAAAACCATGCTTTAAATACCTATCATTTTGTTCTTCTAAATGTGTACTGCTTTAATGTCATATCAATTATTGCTATACTCTCTTTAAAGTAAATGTTTGTAAAAGAAAAGGTAATAAAATACAAAAGATATGGTTTGATTTCCAAATTTCTGTGTAAAAATGTGTAATTGTTGTTTTTTCACATTCCAGAGGGATTTATATTTTAGAATATCCATGGTTGTTGGAAAATAGCAGTTCCATGTTATGTTTGAGGTGTTTGATATTCAGACAGACAGTGATGTTAAGCTCAAGTACCTCTGTTACAGGTTAATAATATCATTAAGCTTGTCTTCTGGTTGTTTAACAACTAAAGTGTGTAGACCAAAAATTAGAGAAAAATATTGGCTATCCTTGTAGCCAATATTTTGGCCATAGCCCTTCAAAGTCATTGAGGACTCAGGACATAACAGAAACTGTACTATGACATCTTGTAACTCAGTGGTTACCCCAGTTTTCTGATCAATGAGATTATGAGGCCACAGAGGAAAGTGACTGGCAATGTACAGTGTGCCTAAGGAGAGTTGGCTAGAGAGAAAAAATTCTCTCAGGCTTTCACAGAGAGCAAACTGGTCAAGCAATGGCCGTGACTCATCCAGATGGATAGGACACTGACAAAGGATCTACAAAGTGTTGTACATGGTTTCAGGGTAAATCCTGAGGGGATTTGACTGACCTTGTCAGATGCAAAAGTTACATTATTAGTTATATAGGTCTTGCTTTATCTCTGTCTTAGCCATCTAGCAGAAATAAAAACGAAGTATAATAAGTAATCCCATATTTACATGCTGAGTTGTAAAACACTAAAGTGAACAACTTCAGATAATTTCCAGTTCTGCTGATAACCCACTGCTATTATGGACTATTGGGCTATATTTTATTTGAAGTTTGCAGGGATATTATATCTCCATCCCCACACCCGAATCACATTTCTGGATTTTAAATTTCCCTTGTTGAGGACATAATACGTGTCAGCAAGTATAGATTGAGAGAGTAGAAATATGTACAAGCAAGAGAATTATGAACACATTGGATAAAAATGCTATCCATTCATACGATGGACACATGTATGGAAGCTGTGAGTCTTGGGAAAGAAAAAGTCACGTTTTCATTTGTGAGCAGCACATACAGAGTAGGACTGTGGGACTGGCTCTGACTGAGTTACACTGAGATGTGTGTGCATCCTTTTTAAAAAATTTTTTTTCTTTCTTCACCATGAAACAACAGTTCTAAACAGTTAACTTGAAGATTTTACACTAGAAGTTTCATTATGACACAAGAACTGGAGAAAAGAAAGCCAAAAACCTTTTTCCCCCTGTGGTAGTTGCTGTTTCTGAGAATATGTACCATTTGTATCCTATTTCCTTAGTAATTTCTCAATTTTCAGTAAATGTTTATAACCAGTTGACATACAGTAAATAATTTACATCAACTAAGTATTTCTGAAATGTCTTGGTGTAGTGTTTGAGGAAGTTTCCAAGGGCCACAACAGTTACACATGCTACTAATTTGTGGATAACGGGAGCCTCCTGAGATGCCACAGGGTCAAGCTCCTGCTTGTCAATGACAGCGTCTTCACTCTGCTAAGTTGATGCTTTATTCACTATAGGGAAGAACGAGGTGAAACTGACTGTCTTTCACTGGTGACAAGTCAGTGAAGCCCTTGGAACTCAAGAGAAAAGTGGAGCTGAGTATTAGCTTACCAGGGAATCAGTCTCATTAGCGAAACACTCCAGCAAATAACTTTTAATCTCTCACTAATTTGTATTTACTGATGCTTGGTCTCACATTGGAATGATATGGAACATAATCTAACTTCTAAAAAATGTTCAAAAGTGATCTATTATCTTACTTTTACAGTACGGTTCCCATTAAGTGCTGTGAAAACTGAACACATAAGTAATACACAAAACTGGGTATTGTAATAGAACCCTCTCATACATGCCTCATTTCTTTCAGAAAGGTAATACAAGTGTAGCACTAAAGCTGACTTCACATATTTACAAACATGATTTCCTCAAAGGTCAAACTTAAATTTGTAAAGATACTCAAAACTTATAAACACCTCAACAATCTTTGCCAATTTTGGCACTCAAAAGCTAACAAAATGTATGTTTTAAAAGACATGCACTGGCTGGGGAGATAGCTCACTGGTCTAAGCTCATGTCTGGCAGACTCAAGGACCTGAGTTCAATCCCCAGAACCACAGGCTGCACTGGCCCCGGAAAGCCAGGTGCACTGAGCTGGCCACCAAAACTGGGCGTGGTGGCACACAATCTCAGCACAGGGAAGGTTGAGACAGGAGGGTCACTACGAGCACGAGCTGCCTAGAGACCCTGTACCAAATAAATAAATAAATAAATAAATAAATAAATAGTCAATATGTACATAAATGATTCTTAGAAAGGCGTGCAGTACTTTACCTGGCCATTTCATTCAAATACCTCTCACCGAGCCACTTCTCCATGAATCTGTAGGCATCGGTCACAAGCATGACCTCATCTTCAAGGACGCTCATTGCTTTGGCCTTTATCAGTTCAAGTCGAAACTGTGTAGCTTTCTCTGTGTAAAAAGAAAAATGAGAGGAACGGTCAATGCTTAACTTTTTTTCTTTTCTTTTTTAGTTTTTCGACCAATTTTGCATACTTACATCTGATAATCTGAACAACCAAGTTGAAGGCAACAATATGCAATATAACAACTGTTGTTGAATTTCTATTCTCTTATTTAGTAAAATTCTGTATCATTTCTAATATTTTTTCCTTTCTATTCTCCTTAAAAATTAAAAAAGTAATCATTTTTCATGTATTTTCTAATAAATTGAATTTATTTTAAGCAAATCTTGCTTTGGTTTGTGAAGTTACAGGCAAACAGTAAATACAACAATGCAGATAAGATAATATCCATCTTAATTATGAAGCAAAATGTAATGTGTGCTAGAGTCATTCCAGAAATTATGGAAAACAAACCTATACTTGCATTTCACATATATTTTACTTTATGGCAACATGCTCTTCTATAAATGGATTGGGAAATATACATATGATTTATGAATTTGAAAAAGTGTGGAAACAAAGAATCTTGGGTATGCTTCCCTACTTAGGATGAACCCAGAGGTGTCAGTGGCATGACATTTTTCAGCAATGCTATAATTGTGGGGAAATATATGCTTCCCTGAGATTACTGCTGTTGCTGGCACATTTCTAGGTCTAGATTTTACTTCCAAAATAACTTCCCTACCTCCCTTGGATTTTTCTATTCACCCAGCTAGTTTGGGTGCTTATTACCTGTCATTAAATGATTGTAATAATTTCAACCTTACTTTTAAAAATACCATTTTCTCACAATTCTAGGCCAGCTCAAATTATCTGGGTACTCTGAATATTCTGCATTGCCTGTAATGTGATCCTATTTTTTCTACCCAGATTTTTCATTAGCTCTCAGCTGCAGTAGGGACAATTTCACTTTGTTGGCAGGACATATTTGCTCTCCAGGATAGGACTTTCCACCTCCCAAATCATACTCCATATCTATTCACCACACATCACCAGTGTGCTCCTTACACCCTCTCTCCTTAGCACATGATTCTCTTCTCCATTCCTACTCTACTTTGCCCTCTTGTCAAACTTACCCATATTCCTAGATCCTGCTGAAAGTCTGTCTTGACATATTCTTGCCCCCTTTGTTCTGTATGCCTATCTACAGTATCACAGAACATTGTAAGTGATTACTATAATACTTGTATCTCTCTTCCTCTCAACTTTAGTTTTTGTTTTATTGCTGATGTAGGCCTTCAGCAACCATCACACAACTTGGTATAGAGAGAAATTCAATACACTTTTATTGCATGAATGAATGAATTTCACTAAATATACACTAAATATCCTGCATTGAATAAACTGAAAGATGAAACCTACTGAATGCCTTTGGAATCAGGGAGAGAGGCAGGTGCATGTCTCTGACTGTCTTCAGATCCTAGGATTCCTTGTATTTAATGTATTTCTGATTTTATTGCTGCTTAGGGAAGTGGGTGGTAGAATGAGGGTGGAGAATGAGGAGAGAGAAAAGGAGAGAAGAGTGGAAAGCATCCTAAATAGATAGTGGCTCCTGAGTTGCTAAAGTGTCTCTGCTTATGGAGTACTGCAGTTTTAGGATTTTTTGCTTAGTATATTGATCATGGTTTCTTTGACATTTTTTGCTTGGCTTTCTAGTATTTCAAATTTCATTTTGATTGCTTTATAAGACATTCACAGGGGCCAAAGAACAGTATGTCTTGTAGAATTCTTACTGCCTGAAGGGGCAAAAGAAGACCCTCAAATGTTGGAGACACCTACTAAAAACTTGAATATAGCCTTTTCTCCCAGTAATTCCTTTCAGACCTGTTGGCCACTGATCAGGGATTCTTTTCCTAAAGGGAGAAAATTATTATTATTATTGCAATATAAAACCACTTACTTTAGGTATCCCTCACCTAAATCCTGTAAAATCAGCTAGTTTTAAAATGCTGTAGTTTTTTTTCTATTCTTTGAGATTTTAATAATCATCCTTGCTCTTCTAACCCCTTACAAAATTCTTTTTATTTCTTTCTGAGATCCTAAAGGCAATTGAGACTGTAGCCAAAACATGTAACCCACACAGTAACCAGTGAAATCTGTTTCTCCTGTGACCAAGTGAAAACAACTAACTGATTGCTCTCTTTTCCTTTTGTTTGGTTTTGAGTTCCCCAGATACAGTCTGAGGCAACTGATGAGACTGCTAGGGCTGTTTAGTACCAGTCTATTTTCTACTCAAAAGCATCATCTGTGTTGATTCTCACTGATACCTTCAAATTGCAGGGCAGTAATATGTTCTTCCTTTATTTTGAGCCTCAATTCATTTTTCTTCTCCATTTCAGCCATTTCCTCTGCTGTTACCACCACAGAAGTGGAGTCTGCTATAGAAGGTGATTTATCTGAAAGAGCAATGTAATACGTTAAGTAAGAGCTTATGCATATCTTGTCTGGACAAAATGAGCACAAAGAAAACCTGTAGACCTCTACTGGCTTAGAAATAAGAAAGCTTGGTCTTCTCAGTATGACAGCGTGATTGATGAAGTCCTGACAGCCCTCAGCATTGGGCTGTGACCCTTTCCTTTGCTTTAATTCTCCTTGTGTTTTGCAAGTGGGACTCCTAAAAGCAGCCCAATTTGTACAGAATCATAAAAAGAAAGGGAACAAGTGCAGAGATGGTTATGGGATCTAAAGGTGGTGAAATCCAGAATATAGGGCCAGAATTCAGAAACACCAACATACAGTGCACAGCGAGCCACCTGCGGAGGTACAATTCCTTGCATCAGTTCCCCAGGTCTTTACCAAGAGAAGACAAGAGGATAACCTCAAGAAGGTGTGGCTGACATGTCGGTGACAGTCAAGGATCTGTAGCCTAGTTACTTACCTTTTAATTAGCATGTGACTATGTGCACTTCACTACTTGCATAAGAGATTGGAAAATGAAAACATACTGCTATTTGTCAGAGGATTTACCTACGGGAGATGGTAGTATGATTCTAACTACAGGCATGCTTTACATAGCCCTAAAAATTCTTTCTTCAGAGTGTGAATACAAAGGGTTCAAATCTTGTGAAGAAGACTTAAATGTAAACCCAAAATTGTAATAAGATGTGTCTGCTGTAATCATAGACTACGTGGAGAATTTATAGAATGTGTTGGTTACAAATGAAGGAGATATTAATCTCTCTGGTTTCTTTTTATCATGTCTAATTATAGAATTAGTCTCAACTGTTTATTTCACTAAAAATAAGGGTAACCTTTAGATGCTGCACATATATTTCACTTGTTGATCATACAAGAGGAGCTAAAGTGGTGTCCTCGACACTGGGCTGTGACCCTTCCCTTTGCCTTAAGTGACTAACCACCTTCTCCCATCCTCAGTACTTCTCCCTGACTCCTCTCATGTCTTCTTAAGTGTAATCTATCTAGTAAGTGTGACCCTGTTTCCTCAGATGGTAGAAGTGGACCTTGTCCTCCAAGTACCTAGACCTCATCTATCAAAATTAACTATTTTCAAATGTCTGTCTCCACTGTTAGACTACAATTTTTAAATCAAGGGTCAAATCGCAGTTTTGATTCCTGATGTTGCTTTTCATTCACTGTTGTGCTTTTGACAGCACCGTAAACTGTTTTGCAAGGTAGATTCCCAATAAACACACGATGGCAATCAATTAAGAGACTGATTTCATGCACTTCTCACTTTAACTTTCTTATCTCAATTGCTTCAAAAATGTACAAGTGGAAATATTCAGAGGGAGGATAATATTTGTGCTAATGCTACTCCTAAAATTAACTGGAAGTTCTTCCCAGCCTGAGCTCTCTTTCCTCTTTTGTTTCCCCTCCTGTCTCTGAGGCAAAGATTTAGGTAGGAGGGTTCCAGGGGAGAGGAACTTGCTTCACTTCAAGCAAAGAAAGCTCTGATACACAGAGCTGTCAAAATTCTTGTGACAGCAAATGTTGACTCCCTTATATCAACTCCTCAGATTGATAAAAAGTTGGAAGTTCTTTTAATATCTTGGAAGTTCTTTTAATATGTTTAAAACTGTCAGAGACACATGTTGAACATTTGGTTATTTAGATAAAGACATTAGGTACAATAGATGGATATGTAATGTGATTTTCCAACTAACTCTACAGCTTATAGAAGCCAGATCTCTAGATTAAACCAAATAGGCAGTATTAGAGGTTAATGTACCTGGCTAATTGCTTGTTTTCTTCTAAGGGGAGGTTGAACCACCCAAGGTTCTGGGGGACAAAACCACAAATACCTTTTGCTGCTTTATCTGCCTTCTTTTTTGGAGGGGGCTCCTTTTCCTTCTTGCCTTTTTTATTCGCACCCATCGGAGGTGGCTTTTCTTTTGAGTCTGCTGGCTGGTTTTCTTTTTCTTCTTCCATGATCCTCTGGTGAATTTCAGCAGTCAGCTAGTTGTATAATGACAGCACCTTGATCATTATGTGTTCATGAAATACAGCAACTACTGGATTTGGGCATCACTAGACTCTGCTGAAGCCCTATTCTGCAGCCAACAAGTCTGCCTTTGGATTCGATCTTGGCAGCATACAGAGATGCTGCCCCTTTACAACGTATGAAAGGTAGTTTTCACTGTCTTAAGTCCAGTTTGCAAATCATAATGAAGTGTTCTAATTGCCACTTCCAGAAAATGACATTTCCATGATTATGTCAAAATTCCTTTGTTTTCACTCTCAGAGTCTGTGAATTTAAGCCTTAATCATCTTCCAAGTTTCTGTCATCTCTTGGTCTTCAGTGTAAGGATTTCCTATATGTTTCTTAAACTTTTTTTAAATTCATAATTAACCCCTGATGGAGATTTATTTTTGTGTTTTCTTCTATTGAACTTCCTTTAATGAAATTCTTATATTGCAAAAGCAGCTATGCTTAAGTACTGTATGATATACATAAAATGATACTTTTCATGCCCCTCTAATTAATTTTGAGATATACATGCCCTTTGTTATTTGGCTCATGAACACTGAATCCTTGGCTTTCTTCTGCTCCAACACTAGATACAATCCTAGAAGACTGAGTTATGAAGATGCCCTGTCCCTAGCTAAACTCCTAGCTCATAGATTCCTGTATTCAGCTGACCTTCAACTTTTTGCCAGAAAGCCCCTCCTTTCATTCTTACGAATGTCTTGATTAAGGGAATATTAGTCATCCACCCAAAAGTGTACTTCCACTTCTTCTCTGAGGATAGCTGTGCTCATCAGGCTACAGAAAACCTCACCTCAGGACTACATGATTGAACTTGTCCTGTAGCCAGACACAGAATGACAAATACTACCCATTCTCATCTTTATTGCCTAAAATATTTGCATGCATAGAAGTACAGAGTACTTTAGTTTTGCCAGTGAGTAAAGTAGGAAAGGTGGGAGAATGAGTAAGATGGGGAGAAGAATGATGGTGGTCAGAGTACAGAGTTTCAGTTAGATGGGAGGCACAAGTTCTGGTGATCTAGTGTACAATATGGAGACTATATTATACTATTATACTGCATAAGTTTCTAGAAGTGTTGATTTTAAATATTTTCCCTGCAAAGATGCAAGTGAGGTAATGGATACATTACTAGTTTGATTTGATCATTTTACTGTGTAAACTATGAAAACATCCCATTTTATGCCATGAATATATGCAATTACTATTGTAAATTAAACTCTAAAATACACATAAACATACATATATGCATACCTCACAATGAAGTCATTCCTGAAGATATAAATACTGGACCATTTGCATTAAGTCCAATAACCTCTTGGGAAATAAAGGCTGTATATGAGGGCTAAGAAAAGTCTCAAGAGAAGAAACAGAACACATATATAGAGTGGAGGGAGTGCTGAAAAGTTCATGAACTTTAAAATTTCAATAAGCTAATTGGCAAGTGATGGGTTTCTACCCAAGTAAAAGTTCTGCCTACTCATCGTGGTAGTGATCCAACATGGCAGGGGCCCAAGAACAACAGCACGCGGTCCTTCCTCTTCCTTTTCTGCAGGTGTCAAGCCTTCCCCAATCAGCACCATGTATGACACCATACTGTCCATGTAAACTCCACTTCTAGTCCAGTGCCATAGAAACCCCACACCCAGCTCTCCATGGAGAGGCATGTAATCTTTTCCACAGATCTCCCATGCAAAGCAATAAAGGATTTCTTTACTTTTTCCCACTTCTCTTTTATGCCAGAGGGAAAAATCTTACAGCAAAGAAATGGGGGCAAAGAAATGGCGGCTTATTTATTTACATACTCTCTTAGTCCAAACCAGATGTTATTTGTGAGGAAAATGGGGTGGTGAGGGAGAGGAAGGGTAAACAAGAAGATTAATGAAGATGAATAGAAAGATTTACCTTTTTACAATTTTGTGAGTGAGATGTACCAGCTGGGTCTTCACTTCCAAATTCCTGCCACACTTGCGACCCTGTGGCTGAGCCTGTAACTGTCCCCAGCTGTGCCATAAGCAAATCTCACCCCACCCTCCCGATAGGCTTCATGCTCCCCAGGACTGTGCCCATTATGTCTTGGGGCATGCGCACTGTGGTCACACAACATGTCCAGCAAATACTTACTAGCTGATGAAAATGTTTTTGAAAATAATCACATCACACAGACAACCCCACAGCTTTTTCAAAACAGCAGCAGCTTGGAAAAATCCATTAAGGTTTGAGACAGCAAGTCAGTTTTTGTTTCAGGTTTTTTGTTTTATGTTCACGGATGTCTTTTGATAAAAATGGATTTTATGCTATATACCCTACTAAGCTTTCAAGTTCTTGCTAGAGCTGAAAACAGGCTTGTTAACATTCCCCCTAAATTGCAAGCAATTCAGGTTTCAATCTGTTCTTGCAAAGCACTGAAAAGCTAACCATTTCCTTTAAAATTGCATTTTTCTCCTTGGTAAAAACCTTGTGAAGATGATGATGACAGTGATTATGATGGTAATAATTATCCTGACCTGCATTTTAGGGTCCATTTTCCTTTAAGAACTCTGAGGCTTTTTCAAAATTTAATGTAATTTGCAATATAGTCAGCAATCTAGTTTGTAGGCCTGGAGAGAACTTTCAACATAATTCTTGGACATTGTGAGTCTTAAATATGACTCCTTTGGAATAAGTGCTTACCTACTAATTAGAAGGAAGTTTTGCTAAAAATTAACACAGCATACTAAGCGGATAAATCTTGGTACAATTGTCACACAGAAAAGCCCCCTTTGATGTGCTCTCATTTCAATTGCAGTAATCTCTGCTAGTACCGTTTTCCCTGCACCTATTTACTGAATCACACCTTTCTCATTTGGTACCGAAAGTTCCCTTCAATATTTGTTTCCTAAAAAAGCAAGGCTTAAGCACTTACGATTCTGGATGTAAAAGCTATACTTTATTTTTGTCTGTCTTTGATCAAGTGACATCAAAATCATGCAAGTCTATTTAAAATCTAAAAGCTGACTTCTTATATAACTATTAGTAATATTTATTGATAATCTTTTTCCTTTTTATGATGTTTCATTGAAGTCCCAAAAGAAAATACTGCAAATTCATATAAATTTCTGACAACAGAATATATTATGCTTACAGCTTCCAAAATATTTTCCTATACGTTGTTTCGGTGATCTTCTCAACCCTTCAAGAGTATATGCCACAACACAGAGAAGGGATTTAGGATCGAGAAGTAAAGGGGACTTTCCTAAAGTCACAGAGCTTAATCAAGAGATCTATCTAATGCTCTTTGGGCTTCTCTTTCCAAAAGTATAATATTTTGGGGGTGTTATCATTTATACTATGCACATGCATATTCAACTTATAATGTGAACATATTTCAATTTTTTGTATACACAGCTATGACTCACAATTCTGGATTACATGAGACTATTATATTTAAATTGGTACAACGCCCATTTAGCGTTCACTTATCGCTTATGCAGGGTCTCAAACTCAGGTGCTGGTGAGAATTTAGCCTCCTCAGTTCTTTAAAATGTCATTTTCCAGGTAATTTTAATGTAATATATGACTTGTAAATTATATTTATGTAGCTCAATTACCAATGTGAATAATTCACTTTTTTCTTATAGCTTCTAAATATGGTTTCTACTCTCTGGTGCTTGGTACTTGTGTCCTTTGTTGTAATCAATATTGTCATGGCCATCATCATTTATAGTGACATCAGTCTCATGAATACAGAAGTGGTAGTACTTCAGGACTAGGGTCATGTTGTGTGTGGGCATTATGCTAGACTAGGGAACATGAAATATTTTAGAAACTATTAAGTATTCAGGAAAACAAATACCAAGATTAAAAGTACAAAGCTAGCATCAATTCTAAGAGTTAAATGAGCTGAATAGATAATAATCATTATACACGGATAAGGACCCTCCCTGGAGGTTCAGAAAATAGGCAAATTACTGGTCAGAAATCAGTTCTGATGACTTAGGAGGAAGAACCATGACACTACAATGCCCTTGGAAAATGGGGCAAGCACTGGCCAGTCACGTAGAGAATGCTTTTGGTGAGATGGTACTGGCCAGTACACAGCAGGCTGAACATCTAGGCTGCGAGGGGAAGAGTATGGCATCCTACATGGCTACGGGAAAGTTTCACACTATGCCGTTCTCTTTTGGGGTCAATAAAGAGACACTATTTCTCTATCCTTATAAGCATCATATGTGCCTAATTAAAATCTAATAATAATTTTATATCTGGATCATTTTGCTCTTCTAAAATTAATGTAATTATAGATACATTTGGGATGTAAATATATTATGTTCCTCTTACCAATGTTTTTTTTCCTCTTACCAATGTTGTTTGTCCCAAATGTTTTATTGTCCTTTTTTCTTCTTTTTCATTGAATATTTTAAATTATATCATTCCCCTCCCCCCATTTTAAATTGGAAATAAGATTAAGTAATTCATTTAGAGGTACCTAAGAGTAACACCATAAATTACTAATAAGTTTTGATGAGTTAATTCTCAGTATAATTTCTAACATGACCACTAAAGGAAAGAATAACAGTACATTATTTCCAAACTTTAAAAGGTGAAAAGGTGTGGAAGATTCGGAAAGATTAAAAATGAAAGCATTAAAAGCTAGGATCTATAAACATTTCAAGTACAATTTACAAAAAGCATTATAGTTAAATACTATCTCATAAGAAAAAATTCAATTCAGCAGAAAGTTTCACTAATTTAAAAGTATATAATCATTTCCACTGTCTCAAATATTCAAAAATTGATAAAACTTCAGAAATGTTTTCACTTTCAATAAAGGGTGGTTTTATCACAATTCTTGATAATTTAAAAAGGAGAAAAAATGAGGTGAAGCTTTAAGTAATTTTGCATATAATTATTCACTTAAATACATTTTGAACTAGAACTATATCATAAAATATAAGATAAATCATAAAATTTACATATAAACAATGAAATGTATGTTTATTAAGTAATAGTGTATAGGGTATATCGAAAAATCTACAGGTATAGTCTTATGAAAACTGAAATGCAATGCAAAGTTTTCTACTGGTATAAAAAACATCAAATTCCCTTAGATACACACACATACAGCTGCCAGTGACAACAGCAATGGCATCAAATGAGGAATCCAAGAGCATACTAGAAGCAGCCTGGATAAATAAACTGCAGTGTAGTCATTTACTGAAACACTGCACAACAACAGAAATGAACAGATACTTCTGTATTCAGCAACATGGAATAGATCTCATAAATAAGAAGACACAAAAAAGACAGAATCTATAATTGCATTTTTTTAAGCTCAAAAGCAGGCAAAGTTAAATTAGTGTTTAGAGCTACAGACATGGCAAATAAAAACTCTTTAAAAAATTAAGAAAATTATTTCTACAAAGGCAGATGGTGAGCCCTGTAGTGAGGACAAGGAGGGTGAAGACTGGAAGGAGAATAAGAAAGAATAAGAAGGTACAAAACTTATTCTACTCCTCCCATACAGTGGGGCTGAGGGTATTTTAAGTGGCCCATGAAGCCAGGAAATAATATTTCATACATTTTTCTTACTGTGTCAAAATCTACATTAAAATGCTTTTTGAACAGAAGCAAGACAATGATTACAGCTTATGAGTATAGTATTGGTGAGTGAAAAGAAAAGTGAGAAAGAAAGTCAGACAGAGGAAGAAAGACCTTGGGGATGATGTATGAGATGATCATACAAAGAGAAGACTGAGACTGAGAAGCCAAAAGGATTATGAGACAAACTAAGACACACCCAGTTAGGAACTGTAATTATGTGCTGTGAGATTTGACAATGGCGTGCCTTCTACTTAGTCACGGTCCCACCCTCTCTATTGTCTCCTGTTTAACTTGGCACATTAGTATTTTCTGGCTGGCCCTGTAGGCCCCAGTACTTAGAGCTCTCCAGTATTTATTAGCCAAATGGTTTCACTTCCTCTTTCTTGGGGGTGGAGGGTGCAGATCCTTTTTGAAGACATACTTTTATAGGATTCTTGAGAATATCATATAACTACTTAGAGCGCCTTACCATTCTTGGTATTTAATGAATGGGTATTACTGAATGGAAGTGTAAGTATAAGCACTGCTTACCATGTGAGCTATTGCTGAAGAGGTCTGCTGCCAGGTGTCCATGACCAACTTCTCATTTGCCTCAAAGTTTAACACTATGCTTTCTAGTGAGCAATCCACCTTGTTTTTCAATATTGCTTTTGCTTTTGGTCTGAGCGTACCTGTTTCTGGAGAAATGGATATTCGAGGAACTGGAGGAAGCCTTTTGAAAAGAAAACAGAACAAAAAGAAATAGATTTTATTTAACAGAATCCTATTTTTTATGATCGTGCTCCTTGATGAATTTTGTTGTTTTCTTCTAACATCCAATTTCAAAGTTTCCTTGGAAGAATTCTTTGAAGGGGAAGATTACAAAAAACTATAATTAAATTTCTGTCATCTATTCTCTCTCTCTCTCTCTCTCTCTCTCTCTCTCTCTCTCTCTCTCTCTCTCTCTCTTTTGTATTTTAAGAAAAGGTCTACAGAGTGTTCAGAGTCTCACTACTAGATCAGGCTTGTAGTGATCTGCCTGTTTACAGCCTCCCAAGAGCTGGGATTACAGGCATGTGCCGCCATGCCCAGTCTCAATTGCTGTCTCAGTGTGCTCCGGGGGCATGGCCAGCATAGCAGGCCTAGGGATTGAACCCCTGGCCCCTGTACCTGCTTGCACGTGCTTTAATCCACTGAGCTATTTGGCTGGCCCCCATCTAGTTGCTTAATGATAAGAGAAAACTCATAGCAAATAGTAAATGTGATCTTTTTTTAGAAAAACATGATTTTTAGATGTAATTCTCAGTAATCATAAAGAGGAAGATTAAACAACAGTGACTATGAAGAAAATACAGCATTGAAATTTTTCTAGGGCATACTCTTCTAATGTGAAATATGCTTATACACTTGTATGTCACTTCCTAAAATGACTAGGATCATTTGACATCCTAAGTGGATAATGAATAGGGCAATGTGACATAAGTGGGGACCAAGCAGGGCTATGGTAGGTAAGAAGGCAGCGAGGTTTGGATGGTGGGTGGACTAGAGTCCCAGCAGCCCACTCCTCTCTGCAGTATGGATAGTGAAGGTTGTCTCTTTGTCTTGTCAAGTGCTGGAGCAAAACAGAGTTAAGTGATTATTCTTCCTTCCTTAATGACATTGCTGCTGTGATGTCAAAATTTTAGTGATTCTTGAGAATATGCCACCTTAAAGCACTCCAGGATCTCAAAGGTTAACTGAAATGGAGAGAGATCTACAAGATAGTGTTTTTGTGATTGGAATTATAGTTTAGTGACAGAATTGTAAAACACTCAGTTCAGAGAAGGGATGAGGAGAGTGCTTCCTAGATGCCTTTGTTGGAACGAGAGTCAGGATCCATAATAAAGGTGGTACTGGTTTTGTGCATTTGAGTTGCTGGAGGAGAGAACAGTGATTTGGAAAGATAGATGTAAATCCAGCAATTAACTTGGTCTTATTTTGCAGTATCAGACAATGTTTCTTGGATATGGTATTCTTTTCCTTTTCCTTTTTTATTTTTTAAAGAGACTACAGAATAGTAATATAAAAGAAAAAATAGAAATTATACAGAATTTCACCAAACAAAATAATATGATTTTGATAGTGTTTGTTGTATTGCATATGGCTGTCTTCAGACTAGTTGTTCATATTACCACATATAGGCATGCAAAATTGGAAAAAGAAAGAAAAAGAACTGTAAGAAATTAAGAAGGGTAAAATAGGGAAAATACCTGTTTCTTATAGAGCTTGAAATTCTGACAGCCTACCATGTACATAAAGTCAGTGTATTGAGGATCCACTGTTTATCTGCTTACCTATTTAATTACATTTTAATAATCAGATAGTATTAAGTCAAATAATGCTAAACTAGTTCAAATGTGATAAGCCCATATAACTATTTCCATACACTTAATGAAATACAACAATTATTTCCCAACACCTTGATTTGAAAGACAACAGCACTGGCATATCATTTACTTTATTTTTATTAAAACAATTTCTTTATTTTATGTATTTGGTACAGGGTCTCACTATGCAGCTCAGACTCACAGTGATCCTCCTGCTTTCAGCCTCCGCAGCTCTGGGATCACAGGTGTGCAACGCCAGCCTGATCTTGGTGGCCAGCTCAGCGCGCCCAGGGATGTGACTGGTACGGCATGTGGTGGCAGGGACGGAACTCTGGCCCCTGTGCTTGCCTAAACAGGCGCTTATTCTATTGAGCTATCTTGCTGGCCCTCTGGTATATCATTTAGAAAAAGAGATTAGGTTTATAATTCCTTTACTGGAAAAAAAAACCTGTTTTAGGTATCTCTTCAATTGTCAGTAGCTATAGACTTGGACACAGCACTTAGCTTTCTGAGGCCCAGTCCCTCTTAGATAATACAAATATAATATCATTACCACCATTTTTCGTTATTAATGGTTACTACTTTTATGTAATGTTACTGCAGTACTATCATTGTTATAGGATTGTGGAAGGAATAAAGCAAAAATGATATGTAAAACTTGTTTCTCTACACGTTTCAGACACTGTGGTTTATTGGCTGGCTGGTTGATTGGTTGATACAGTGAATGACTGATAGTTCCAGCAGATAGCCAAGGCAGTGATTTGAGGTTGAGATTGGTACAGAGTTGTTCTGCAGAAAAGTAAGAACTGGCTGTTCTTTGCAGTTTTGTTCTATCAACCAACATTAATAACTTCCCATGACTTGCTATTTTATACTAAGAACAGAATGCCCTACCACTCCAGTGCTGCAACTTGCCCTCTTTTGATGGTGCTGATGGCTCATGCTGCCCTCAGAACTTCTCATTGTTTTTAATTTCGAAGTTCTCATTCAGCAGCTTGCCAAACATTTCTTTTTCATTTTTATCAATAAGAGGACACACACTTTTCCTCATGTGTGTTTTACACACATGGAGGTCCTGGTAAGGTTAGGATAGTCCTAGGTAGGAGAAGGCTGGAAAGAGAACAGATGAATCTTGGATCATTGCAGAACATTATTGTGTTCAGGCAACCTCAAATCTTTTTTTTTTTTTTTTGGAACAAATTATGATAAAATAAACAAAGCAAAAACAAGCAATACTCATAACTAAATTATCTCATATAGGCAAAAATAGCTTATTGCACGATATGCAATAAAATATTCAGCATTTGACTGAGAGTTCCTGTTTCTCGATCTCAAGTCTTCTGATTCCCATACATGGTTGCAAATGGCTTGTAGATTTTGTCCTCCTCCCCTCCCCTCCCCTCCCTCCTCCTCCTCCTTCTTCCTTCCTTCCTCTCTCTCTCTCTGTCTCTCTCTCTGTCTCTCTCT